AAACCCGGAAACTTAGTTGCGCACCTAGTATATAACTGAAATGATATATACTTTTATTATTTCAGTCATTATCATGTAAATACAAAATAAAGATAACTATTTATTCAATATATGTGTATGGTATATGCGTATATGTATATATTAATTAATTGATTAATTAGTTATTTTGTATTTACTACATAAGGATAAAAATAAGAAAAGTATATGACATTTTTCTTCAGTGATATATATATAGTATTATATGTATATTTTTTATTTATTATTTTGTCATATTTAGTTTGTGTTTATTTGACACCTTGTATACGCCTATGTCTTCTCGGACATTATATTGCAGTCTTGCGACGAAATTTCAGTCGAGGAAACAAGCGCAAGCATCGTTTGTTTACAAACTTCCGATGACACACGTACACAGTTTACACATCAGTGTGTGAGTTACCACTACAAACAAATGCGTACACACGGACCTACGCGGCATAGATCCGTAGGCTACGCCGATAATGTCATTTTATTTTTAATACCATCGAAATGATGGCGCTTTCGCGTCGGAGTTTGCCCGTCACTTCAGCATCCTCTTAAAAGACCGTAAAAACCATAGCTTCTTTCACGTATCCATTTTAGCGAGTCAGTGGCAAGTGTATCGTAAACCGATTATTGCTCTGCCAGGAACTGCTGAATTCATCGTGCAAGCAACAGTGTGTCTGCATAACTGGCTCCGAAAAAAAAATATCGGAAGAAATATGTATATCTTCCTATACATGATCGACGAAGAAAGCACAGATTTAAATAATTTCCGACCAGGCACTTGGCGGACAATACCCATACAGCACAAAATATCCTACATATCCTTAGGACATCTTGGGGAGATCTCGATGTTCTCAGAACATCCTTGGGACACCGAAATATCCTTGATGTCCTGAGGATATCCTGAGGATGTTTTGTGCTGTATAGGTAATAGAGGATGGATGCGCATTTCATGATATCACTAATTGTGGAACCAACACAAGTACTCGAAACTGCATGATAATTTGTGATAAATTTCGCGAATTCTTTTGTAATGAAGGATCAGTATCGTGGCAATTTAATAGGCATAAATAAATGATTTACGTATTTACATAATACCTTAATAACATTATTTATTAAAATATATTATTATATTGAAATATATTAAATTATATTGAGTTATATTAAAATATAACATTATTTATTAGAATATACATATATGAAAAAATCTATCTATTCTGGTCGTTC